GATCCATCTTAACAACTTACATCTCCCTTTGGGAGGGTAGGGCCTACAAGTTCGCTCCACACAGGATCACATAGAACTGTGAACTCTTGACTGACCATTGCAGCCTTTGTCTCTACTCCTGAATTTGCCAGACAGACTGACTTTTAATTCATGTGGTCAAAACACAATGTGTGTATCACGGGGGAAACTCGGTCAGAGACGGACATTTTGGACCGGTAAAGTAAAGTGGAGAAGCAATGGGATAAGCGTAGATCTTGAGACCCAGGATAATAAGTTAGTGAAAACGGCCTGCTTCATGCCACTGTGATTGGTCATCAAGGTTGACCACTCTTTGCTTGCCAAAAGTCATAAACCCACCCAGGAATCACGTCAGTCTATTTAGAGAAAAGGGAGACTATTAATTTAAGGATTGTGGACATGAACGTGGATCACTGAGGGTTCTTCCCTTGGTGCCTCGGCTAAGATCCTACTTTCCTTGCTCCCGAGCACCGGGGCCTTAGGCGGAGACTACTGTACTTAACCTATACTCACCTTCAGTTTTGAGCGCCCCAGTCGTTGGATCGGTGAAAACTATTATGTTTCAACTGAGATAGCTGGGAGAGATCTATGCATTTACTAGTGACGTTTGCCAGACTTATACACAATGTACAAGCCGTGGCAGACTAATTTTTTAGCTCGTTAATTAAAATTTGTCGCAACTTTATTGATGTTCATTCTCTTTTTATTGTGGGTGGTTGCTGGGCGTCACTAGTTGGTCCTACTTTTTTTTTCTCACCATTATTTCTGTATACTGTCTTTCTAACTTTTCACCTGCTCTAAATGGGCACTATTGTGTTTCAGTGTGGTTCTCCTCACTCAAAGTGAAAGTCCCGTTTTCGGCGTGTTCTATGGTCTGCTGGGGTAATAATAGAGTGTAAAGCGCATAGAGACTGCTGTTGAGCGGGGATAGGCGCTATACAAACACTATTTATTTATTACTATCATCATCATCATCATCATCATCATCATCATCATCATCATCATCATCATCATCATCATCATCATCATCATCATCATCAGTATTTACAACTGGTGGTTTTCTTTTTTTGACTCTCTTCCTCACTATTTCTTGGCCAATTTTCCATTTGTTTGTGAATGGTGTACTTCAATGTTACATTTATGGGTCTTCCTCTTCATCTATAATTTCATCATCATCATCATCATCATCATCATCATCATCATCATCATCATCATCATCCTTTCGACCCATTAGTTTGACATCCTGTGTCATGAAAGTTATAGAAAGGATGCACGCTGAAAGAATTTACTACTTGTGAAATGGAGAATGAAGAATGAATGGACTGCAGATATTCAGGCAGGCTTTCGCCAAGGTCATAGCTGCACGGACCAAATCATCAGAATATGTCAAGGAATTGAGGATGGTTTTCAACAAAAGCCAACATTCCATCGATCAGTCCTAGTCCTGCTGGACTACTTCAAGGCATATTATGATACGGTTTGGCGTGAAAGACTATTACTGTCAATGGCTGACAAGGGAGTTCCATTGCGTGCAATCAGATGGATCCATGGTTTCCTGAGAAACAGACAAGCCCGTGTTCGCCTGAATGGAGAAACAACCAAGAGCCAGAATTTCAAGCAAGGGCTTCCCCAAGGAGCTGTCCTATCACCACTGCTGTTTATATTCTTCATAAACAACCTGGCAGAATCCCTCCCAAACCCTGACTCACAACAATTAACAATTAACCTCCGCCAAGCTGATCTACTCAATGTTCACTGATGACTGCACAATACTGGCCAGTCACGCAAAGAGAGAAAAGGCAAATGAAGCGACACAGTTGACTGTGGACATGGTTGTGAAATGGAGCAATGAATGGAAGCTTACCTTGAATGCAACAAAGAGTGAAGTGTGCTTCTTCTCAACATGGGTGAAGGAGGCAACGTGGCAACCAATAATTCAGATCGAAGGGAAAAATATACCATTCAACCACACTCCACGTCTGCTGGGCGTCTACCTGGATAGACAGCTAACCTTCAACAAGCACATTGAGGAAGTGTCCAAAAGTGCAACCTCAAAAATGAAGGTTATCGGTGCTGTCAGCAACTCAAAATGGAGATGGGGTAAGGAGTTGCTCAAGAAAGTATATAAGATGTTTGTGAAAAGCAAGATGGATTATGCTGCCCCAGCGTGGCAGCCTTGGCTCAGTGAGACTAATGCAAAGGCCCTGGACAGAATACAAAACAAAGCCCTCCGACTTGTATCAGGTCAGCTGAAAACAACACCTACAGAAGCGCTGCGCTACGAGACCAGAACTGAGCACTACACCACCTACACAAAAAGAACATGCCTCAAGTCTGTAGAGATGGCTAAGAGATTACCAGACAACCATCCAAGAAAGAAAGCCCTTGATCAAGCAGTCAAGCCTAAAAACAGCAGGAAAAGTTGGTTTCGGATCGGCACCGATCTAGCAGACCACCTCCACCCTGAAGCAGAGAATCAATGGCCCATCAATCTGGTGAGAGCTTGTCCATGGGAGATCCATGGCAAAATCGAAATTCGGACAGAACTGAGAGGAGTAAAAGGAAAAGGTGGTGATCATGTAAAGGCACATGAAGCAGCTGAGGATGTGATCAAAGAGGTTAGTGTGGATATGACAATTTTCACCGATGGATCGGCTATCGCAGGATACCGCGAAGGTGGAGCAGCAGCAGTGGTGATAATGAATGATGAACCACCACGAACAGAAATTATTAAAACTAAAGGTGCATTCCTTAAACCATCTTATGACGAGGAATGCCAGGCAATGATGTCTGCTGCACAATGGATTGCTGACAATTGCCACAGTAGGACCAAAGTGCTGATCTTGACTGACAGTCAGTCCCTCTGCAAGGCGCTGCTGGGCAACAGCTCGGACATGAATGATTTGCGCAGCAAGTTCAGCGAAGCCACAGCCACAATAATAATCCAGTGGATTCCAAGCCATGTTGGAAAAGAAGGAGATGAGGCAGCAGACCAAGCTGCTAATGAAGCCAGAGAGATTTGAAGGAAACAGACGACCAACAACATATTTATTATTATTGTTATTATTGTTGTTGTTGATGCTGTTGTTACTTTATAAATTGTTATAATACATTATTATGATAATCTCCCTGCTGGTGGGGGGCCCCGTAGTTTTACTATGGGGGAGCAAAGAATACACCTGCCGTGATACTGCGTGTCGTAAGAGGCGACTAAAAGTGCATAGGTCTGGTCGCCCGAAAAGTGCCAGTTTGCGGAGGGCCAACTACCCAACCCAGTAAAAAACAGTAAGTTACAGAAACACAGACAAACACAGCTTTTTATTTTTCGATCTTGGGAGACGGAGGAGCTTCTGCATCAGCAGGAACAATGAAGGACAGCGGGCAAAGCCGAAAGGACTCTTCTGACCCTAAACCTTCTCTGTCGAATCCCAGTCAGAGATGAGGTTGGAAGAAGGCGGTGGCGATGGATTGGACATACTCTCAAGAAGTCAGGCAGCTGCATAACAAAGAACGTTTTGGATTGGAACCCACAGGGCAAGAGATCAAGGGGAAGACCTCATGGAACTTGGAGAAGAATCACATAAATCGATGTACAGAAAAGTGGGAAGACATGGAATAACATCAAGAGGCTAGCCCAGGATAGAGAAAAGTGGAGGGTGTTTGTCCGTGGCCTGTACCCTGATGCAGGGTGAGAAAGGCAATGATGATGATAATGATTATAATAATAATTATTATTATTGTCGACATGTCATATACGCCTATTCGTATGTATGACATGCAATTCCCTCTTCAGGAACGGAAAGAATTTTATTTGACTTAGACAAGTAATGAAGAGTTTATGGATTGTGTAAAAAATACGTAATAATACATCAATTTTCGTCTTTTTGTATTAAATTCATTTAGGAATTATTTTTCCCTGTCCGTCTTTCTGATTCGTTTTTCTCAGTTTGCCTCTGTGTCTCTATGTTCCTTCTTTTTGTCTGTCTGCGTCTTTCTGATTCGTTTTTCTCAGTTTGCCTCTGTGTCTCTATGTTCCTTCTTTTTGTCTGTCTGAATCATCGCATTCAGTATCAAGAACAAATTAGCATGCATAGTGCCAAAATGTCACGAACTACGGTTTTCTGCTGTAAAAGATTTACGGCCAAATAATGTCAAATGGATTTGACTCTGCAGTTACTTCTGCGTAAATATGTTTTTACTTTTATGTTTTGCCCGTTATTTTTCATGCCTCTTTAACTGTTTTTCTTATTTGAAGCAGCCAAATCACAGGTAGTAGATGCGAGTTCGATTCTCTTGTGGGGATTCTTTTTGTTATCGAGTGTTTCAATCAGTGTGGTGGGTAATCGCATCCCTCTCAGCCCTGGATGGCTCTGGCAGGCAGAGTAGATGAGATGCAGTTTGCCTCCTAAATTATAGGAATCTTGTCGATAGAGGCGCAAAACGTCTAAACGGACATTTTTTTTTACCCCTATGATGGAAATGTCTTGCATTCGTTTGCAAATTTAAAAGAAACACAACGACATGTAAACCAAGAAATGTTGATGGCAAGACAGACAAAGAGAAGTGACAGACAGATAGAAACGAAATAGGATCTAAAAGTGGCGCCTCTTGATTAGGCATGACCACTCGTTTCCCTATCTGGGTCCATAAAGGTGCATACAAATGCAAACTCCTTCATCTTAAAGGATTTCTTCGTATGGCTTTAATTTTCCTACGAGCTGAACGAGTTACTCATTTGGACATGAAATTTTGAAAGGCAAACCCTTGTTTTTTTTTGGTTTTTAAAAAAAAAGAAACGAAGACAGAAACACGACAGGGACAATAAGAAAGTCTGATGAGATCACCAGATATCCTCGCTATTGTTTACAACTGAGAGATATACAATTACAATTCAGTTCATTTCCCACCTTCTCTTCCACTGGAGGAATAGAAACATTCAAGAAACGAGGAAGAACAATAATATCTCAATGTCACACAGAAAAAGCTGTTTTCACTCTTTATTGTTTAAAAAAAAAAGGAAAAAGTCGTTTTTGTATCATTTTCAGGTCAGCGGTCCAAATCGTTTATCAAGTTAACCTTGTGTTATAAAGTTAACCTCTTTGGTTTACCCCCCGACCGATTTTTTCATAGACAGCCTGAAGAGGATTCTCTTTCTTGGAAGTGCAGGTTCCATCGAGGAGACTCATCGCCATTTCGTCTTGGGTGGCAAGTTGCTTATTTTGGCAGACGGCTCTCGTTGCGTCGTCATTGCCTTCCACGCATCTCCTGACCTGCTCATTAAAGTAAGTGCCCTGAGCACAGAAGGTACAGTAAAGCGAAATTTTGCCATCGCCGCATGTGTAGTAGCTGTTGCAGAATGTGGGGTGGGCGACAAAGAAAGCTTGGCCGGCTGAGACATCACTTGGTCTGTTGGTTTCGGAGCAGATGCTTTGGAATTCTTGTTTCACGTCCTGGTCTTGTTGTGGAGGCCTTTGGCAATCGTTACCTTGGAGGTTTTCGGGCCAGTCGCATTGCCCTTTTTGTGAGTTGAAGAGCGCTCCGTTGGTGCAGTTTTGCAGGGACGGGACTCCTCCAAAGCAATTAATGAACTTGGAGCAGTCAGGGCGGTAAACAAATTGGCCTTTCTGTTGGGGACATTGCAAGGGGTTGGCTTGTCTTCGGCTTCTGGAGTTGCCTGCCACAGCCAGAGAGACGGCGACAAAGAGACACAGTGCTACTTGAGTAATGAAAGCCATCTGTAAACGAAAAAAAAAATATTTCTGTGATTGGAAATGAATTTTCTGTTAAGCTTACAGAGAGAGAGAGAGAGAGAGAGAGAGAGAGAGAGAGAGAGAGAGAGAGAGA